ATAAGATAGAACTGACATTTTAAACCTGGAAGATATTTTATGAGTCCAAAGTTCGTAATTTTTACATGTAACAGGAAAAATGGTTTTGTGATAATTATTTTTGAAAAGCATATACACATATACTTCTAAAATTATTTCCAATCATTATGCTACTAGTTGCATATACTTCGTAGTATGATTTAACACCAACTATCTTGTAATGTCACTTTCGGAAATCATTACGTATTAATTTGCAAATTATATATGTATATATTGATATTTATATATACGTATTGATATTTATTAAAGAAAATAAAGAATTTCTAACTTACTGTTATTTTAAAAATGGAAGTCATCTGTAAGTACATGAGCTGGAAATTCTTAGAATGTTTATAGTTATATACGTATTTATACTAGCAACATATATTTTAATAAAGTATAAATTATACTTTACAAATATTACGTAACTATACTAGCAACATTATCGGGACCTAATGTAATTTCTTTATTTTCGAAGGTTGAATAATAATAGTAATAAATATTATTATTTAGTACGTTACATTTCTAAAGCTGTACGATTTTGAGAAAATAAAATAAATTAAATCTGGATCTTTAGTTAGCTATTTGTATATACATACATACATATTGTTGGAAAATTAGGAATATTTCAAATGAATAAAATTACATTTAAATTAATTTTTTCTACTCCAATCATACATTTTCCAACTCCCTTGTCCATACGTTTCTTTGAATTAAATGAGTAGTTTTATCACTCATAATTGCTATTAATGTTTAGTTATTCCTAAACGTTTTCTTTACAAATTACCATTAAGTTCTTGCATTAACCATTATTATTTGCACAAGTTTTGAGTTATTGCCTGCTCATTAGCATTGCTCTATCTCTTTATTATTGTTATATATATATATATACACGTATGGGTATTAAGGAGGTAGGAGGGATGGCACATGCCATATGCCATAACCACCAAAACATCGAATACTTAACATACACATATACCACATATATGGAGTATCATTTACATGCATTAGTGCTGGAAAATTATTAGAAGGCCGGATTCATGGAGCAACAAAGGGCACTCTCAATAATTTTATGCTTTTGAGCAAATTCTTCGTCATAAACTATCATAACTTTATTATTGGGTTCATATAATATTTTCTTCTCGTTAGTTCTGTTACCGGTCATGTACCGAAGGGCTCGTTATATCTTGGGGGAAATTTCTGTACGCCGGAAATAATTCCTTAGGACAGCGTTTGACGCGTCTCGAGCCACTAATGTATTTTTAGTTGTTTTTAGTGATTATTCTGCAGGTCAGTTCTGGGAGCTAGATGGTCAACGAGGTCAGCTTGGGAGCAACATGGTAAACACGTTGATTTTGGAAGGATAGAGCCAACACACACACACACACACACACACACACACACACACACACACACACTGTCTAGTCCAAGTAAAACATGCCAAATGTCAATTAATTAAGAGGATTTCTAATCCGCATGGAACATAGTGGAATAGCCGAACATTAAGCTACTCAAATCCCCTCCAATGCATAAAGTCTAAAGCCCAATTTAAGTGTATATGTGGCCTTTTTTTGTTAAATAAAAAAACGGCCAGGCCAATTAACTGATGCCCTACGTTAGTTAGTTTTAAACGTAAACTGATGGATAGGTTGTGTCGCTCTTGCTCTTTCTGAATATTTCATTGAACTCATTCCACGAACAGGTAATTTTATGCTTTTATTGGGTAATCAAATTGAACGTATATATGAACTCACGTATACTCGAGTACACACACATATATATTATGGAGTAATATATACCCGATTTTACAACTAATTCATTTCGATTCCTACTGCTGATATAACAGATTGAATAATCTTGAAAACATATAAAATATTTATAACTTAATATATCTGATATATGCAATCCATTAGTAATATTATATACTCCGTATAATCTTTCATATGTATTATCAAGGTTATGTAAATTATGGTGTGCATCTTGATTTAATTATTTCTCAGTTTGAATATTTGAAAATTTTGATATGAGTTGTGCTAATTGATAATTTGATATCATTACTACGTATATTATTGAGTATACTCATCAATTAACATGAAAAACAATTGAAGTTACCCTCACTGCTATGTTTTTTTTGTTACTCATAGAATAGTTTTCATTCTATAAGAATATCACATTGATTTATTTTATTACATAGTTCAGGTTAACGCTATGGCATCCTCAACTTTAAGATCAGACAATTTATAACCACTAATACCCATTTTTGATTATATTATAACCTTTTTTTTGTTTTGTTAATACAATGTGTGTGAAGAATATGGACGCATCAAGTTTTGGATCGAGCTCGAACAGTACACCTTCAAGTGAAAATGAGCTCTCACTTACCAAAAAGCTCTTAAATGGTCCATTGGAAGATGATGCACTTCATGCCGAGTATAGTTCAAATGTTCCCTTAATTGTGTCTTCAATGTTAACTGCTGCAAAATTCTCTCTTAACAGCTTAGGTTCTGGCAGATGCTATATTCGTCGAGATAGAAAAGAGCGTCATGACATGATAGTCAATGACTACTTCAAAGGAGAAAACTCCAAGTACACCCCTGAACTTTTTCGTCGTAGATTTAGAATGAGCATCGAATTATTTACCCGGATTTTACAAGATGTTGAGAAATATGATAATTACTTTCAACAAAAGGTTGATGCTGTTGGAAATATTGGTTTGAGCCCACTACAAAAGATGGTTGCGGCAATTCGTATGCTTGCATATGGTTGTCCTGCTGATCTTCTTGATGAATATGTTCAAATCGGAGAAAGTACCGCAATAGAAAGCTTAAAGCGTTTCTGTGCAGCTATTATAGGAATTTATGAAGAACAATATTTGAGAAAACCCAATAAGGATGATATCAGAATGCTTCTAAGGGAAGGAGAGTCCCGAGGATTTCCAGGTATGCTTGGCAGCTTGGACTGTATGCATTGGCAATGGAAAAATTGTCCCACTGCTTGGCATGGCACCCACACAAATGGGTTTAAAAGAGTTCCAACTCTTATTTTGGAAATTGTAGCTTCACAAAGTTTATGGATTTGGCATGCTTTCTTTGGAATGGCTGGTAGCAATAATGATGTTACTGTTTTAGATAGATCTCCATTATTTGATGATGTGATTAATGGGGTTGCTCCACCATGTAATTTTGTAATTCAAGGTAATGAGTATAATATGGGTTATTATTTAGCCGATGGGATATACCCACAATATGCAACTCTCATCCAAACAATATCTCATCCTTCATCTGTCAAGGAAAGGTTGTTTGCAAAACGACAAGAATCTGCAAGAAAGGATGTAGAACGAGCATTTGGCGTGTTACAAAGTCGATGGCATATTGTTAAAGGTCCGGCCCGTCTGTGGAACGCTAAAGACTTGGGAAAGATAATGAAGACGTGCATCATCTTACATAACATGATTATTGAGAATGAGCGCGGACAAGGCGTTGATCCGGAAGATTGGGAGGCCGAAGGAGATGAATCGGGTGAAAGTGTTACACTAGAGCATGATTTTACCTTAATTATGTCAATGATGATTAATCGAACAAAACAAATACAAGCTACGTGGCTGCACAGGGATTTAAAAAACGATCTCATCAATCATTTGTGGGAAGTTTATGGTGGTCAAGCTTTTGAAGGATAATTCCAATGTAATGTTTACTTTTTATGGATAGTTTCACTTTATTGAATAGTATTAGTTTACTGCTTCGTTTTTATGTGTAATATTTTGCTTTTGTGTAACTAATCATTATAAGTTACATATATTAAGAATATTGTTTACATGTTAATTAGTGATTAGATTTTGTCATCATGTTTAATCTTCTTCTCAAATCTGATAATGTAGTTATTGTGAATAATAACAGTCATTCCCTTGGTCTCTTACTCTCTGCACCCATGCTGGGTTCTTGAAGTATAGACTAGCAGTTGGAAATGCCGCTTGAGGCAGCAGATACAAGTTCACCTACAATCATTTGATATGCATTGAAGCTCAAAGTTCATCAACATTCTTTCATTCAAACTAAGAAAAGAATACACAGGTTTATTTGTGTTGGTATTATTAACATAAAGAATCATATGGTTGCAGGGACTACTATACAATAACATCTAATGCAAAGAATAACAGATTAATAACCCGGCAGAGTGCTAAAACAGATTAGGTCAATGGCAGATTAATAACATCTAATGCAAAGAAAAACAAATTAAGTTCCTACATAATTATACTAAAGTCAATGGCAGATTGAATTAATCATCAAACACATTAAGGACAACACATTCATAATAAATTTAATCCAAGCAATAACATAATACGAGTAACATAATAAATATCAGTTCACAGCTGAACAAATTAATAAATCCAGTACTATGTAAAGGATAAAAAAACTACTTAACAAATGCAGTCTAAATAACATATTTAGACTATCCAGTAGTGTGTAAAGAATAAAAAACTACTTAATAAATCGTCACTATGTTTAGATTAAGAAAAGCTGCCAATTTCCCATTCCTCCAAGATTCGAGCTTGTAAGATTTCATATTTAGCTCGAACAGTTGGCGAAAGCGTACTCAAATTAAGATTCATTATGCGTTCTTGATCAGCTCTTCTTTTATCGTGCTCTTTTAGCTCTATCTCCTTTTTCATTACTTGCTCTCTAAATGCACGCTCATTCATTTGGTTTTCCTTCTTCATCTCCAACTCGGCCTTATTATATTCTATTTGCTTGTCCAAGGTACACTGCAATTTATTTAGTGCTTCAACCACTCCGTTTTCGGAATTAAGCTTTCTTTTTCTGTCTTTGGCACTTTTCCTTCCCAAGGGCCGCACAATTCCATCAGTTTTGACTTGCTCAGGTTCCATAGACTGAGTTTCTGGAATCGATGGGGTGTCACGTACTTCTGTTGTGGTTTTTTTATCTGAAGAACTTTTATCTAATGCAGAAGCCTTTGAGAGCTGATTAGTACACCATTTTGGGTTCGTTATCAAAAGCTCCCAGCAATGGATATATTTGAATTCTTTTTTCTTTTTATCACTGAACTGTCTCTCGTACATTACCAATGCCCTCCTTTTCTGAAATAAAAAGAAGTGCATGAATCACACTGTAAAGTACTTCTAATTCCTTATATATTAGTGAAAATTAATATATGAAAGTAACGCTTACCATGTCTTCTGGGTTCGAGCCACTTTGGGGATGCCTTTCAAGTTTCTCGTAAATTCCATGGAATTTGTTCACTGCCTTTTGCATTTTATTCCACCGGCATTGAAGGCTATTACTACTTCTAGCCTTGCAGCTTTCCCCCATTTTGTCCTTCCAAACTTGAGAAATCCTCTCCCACATTGCTGTGCTTTTCTGATTATTACCAACATCAGGATCCGTAGAAATGTTTAGCCATGCTTCTGTTAAAGCAATATCTTCTTCTGAACTCCAATCTTCTCTTTTTATAGTAGTCGATTGAGAAGTGTTTAAATTATTTTGGACATCCTTATGTTTCTTTCTCCCACCTCCGGATGCCCTAGGATTTTCAGTGGCTCCACTAGAGAATACGGGAGTGTTCAAAAGATTTTGGAACGAGAATGGAGGCCCATAAGATAGGTTGGTATAAGGAGAACAAGAACCATTCATGAGATTGAACTGATATGGGGGTTGGAACGGAGGGCTGATTGAAGTAAACTGGTTTGGTGCTTGATTTGTGTAGTTAACATGGGTGGGATTTTGGGAGATCGAGAATGGGCTAGACTCGGAATCCATTTCTTGTAGGCTCTATCTGTACATCAAGAAAATAAAAAATAAAACAATTTGTAATTAGCTGCTAAATTACATAGAGAATACATCAAAATAGAAGTAGCACAATAAAACACAATTATCATATAGAGCTAGCGAAGTAAAATGACCACAAAAAGGTTAATGGAAAAATCTGCAAACCCCCCAACTACAATACAACACTACCATGTTTAATGGGGAAATGAAGAAATAAAAAGTTTGTAAAACTAATCAAGGAGTGTTACACAGTCACCGACTCAGCATAGTGGTATGATTGTAGTTATTAAGCATAGCTTTAGAACGGCATAAATAGCCAAAGGTACTCGATAACATATATGTAGTATAAAGCAGTATTGTATTTAGCAAAAGTCCAAAGCAGATTAAGAAGCATGAAAGCTACTTAAATGTCCTCTGGAAGAAAGGAGAGGCAGTGACGGTCTCATGATAATATAGTAAGAGATTAAGAGGAAAAGACTGGAGAGATTAAGAGAGTACAATTGCTATTTAATAGGGAAGACCTTCTTCAAAATCAGTTGACTGTAAACCAATATATAGACCAAAAATTATAATTTTTCAGAATATGGCCAATGTAGTAGTAAGATTATAAACCGGCTGTTAGCATGTGTAAAGACTTTAAAATGAGTTGTTATTTTTGTGTAAATAATGATGTATATACAAAGTATGTATTAAGCAAACACATTCTATTAAATTTCTAGTAGAGTTGCTTTTTACTTGTATGTAAATTCATAGTTTTATTGCTACATCATACTCTCTAACAAATTGTTAGATCACACACTGTGTAACAAGATGTGTAAAACATCTATATCTGAGACTAATATCACAGATTTTATCCTCTTGGACTTCAACTATTAAAGATTAAAATGAACTAAGTTCATTAGTTGGAAACTTAAAATGGTTCATTTCTAAGAGCAGTATGATACAATGTGTATAACTATATTTTTCTGGTTCCACAAATACTAAAAATTAAAGCAAGAAACGAATAACACATGAAATCAGGAACATATAAGCCATATTTTCACATATAAGCCATTTTTACCTTTAATAAAACCAATAATGTAGCTGAAATCAAATTCTAAGAGATACTTGTCTTTGAATATCGTACTCAAAGGATTAATCATATGGCTTCCCACCCCTAAGAGTTGAAAATACTTCAATGAAAATTTCTATCGAAACTGTTGCTTTTTTATGCACGGTCTTCCTTGATGGGAGAAAATAATTACTACACTGAATTTACTACAAAATAGCTGTGATATGATACCTACAAATGAAACAAATAAACTAATGGCCAGATTAGTTGAACGAGTGAAATTTTTGGATGAATTTAAGGGATGTGATGCTAGTTTGAAAGAGAGCAGAGGAAGGTTTGTCTTGTCAACCCCTTACCCCGGGAATCTTGTAATCCGACAATTACAAACTGAGTGATTCCCTCGTGATTCAATAACCATCTCGTGTCTTGCATTTCCTTAAAAACAGAGTGCTTTCATAGTTTTTAGCAGAAAGGAAAATATAGATGCATAACTTTGGAAGCCCTTAAAATTTTCAAACCCTTAGCTTCAAAGATATGGCCGATCATAGTAAACCTAATCGCAATTGCTAAATACAAAATAGTTTCAAACCCTTCAGAGCTATGGCCGATCTTAGTAAACCGAATCGCAATTGCTAAATACAAAATAGCAGCAACCCAAAAAAAATAAAGACGACCATTACGAATAGAAGAATTTCAGGATGTGCTCATTCGATTCAAGAGTGTTCATCGATAGAGTTGAAAGAGAGAAAGAAATTGACATACCTGATAACCACTATGAGAATATAGTTCGCTGCTTCAACAAAAAACTGTGAAATAGGTCTTTGGCTGAGAGACGGAGGTTATATGGGTTTTCATTTCCCTCCCAATATTTCATCGGGCGCCCTTTTTTTGGCGAGTCAGCAAGTTTCTCTGCCTTTCTACACTCGGAAGTTCACATTCACAGTGTGCAATTTTTTTTTGACAGGTCAGCAAGAGACTTCCAGCGTTGGAAACAAAAAGAAACGCATAGTGTCTAACTTATTGACGTGGCACACAAAACCAAGACTAAACAGAACCGCATTGCGGTTGCTCTTAACATACACATATACCACATATATGGAGTATCATTTACATGCATTAGTGCTGGAAAATTATTAGAAGGCCGGATTCATGGAGCAACAAAGGGCACTCTCAATAATTTTATGCTTTTGAGCAAATTCTTCGTCATAAACTATCATAACTTTATTATTGGGTTCATATAATATTTTCTTCTCGTTAGTTCTGTTACCGGTCATGTACCGAAGGGCTCGTTATATCTTGGGGGAAATTTCTGTACGCCGGAAATAATTCCTTAGGACAGCGTTTGACGCGTCTCGAGCCACTAATGTATTTTTAGTTGTTTTTAGTGATTATTCTGCAGGTCAGTTCTGGGAGCTAGATGGTCAACGAGGTCAGCTTGGGAGCAACATGGTAAACACGTTGATTTTGGAAGGATAGAGCCAACACACACACACACACACACACACACACACACACACACACACACACACACACACACACATATATATATATAGGGAGCGGTTCCGGTAAGAACAGATCTTATGAGAAAAATGAGAACGAGTCTGGACCGTTGGATTGTATTATGTGGAACCAAATTGTGCATTTGGTGAAACTGAAATGTGCATTAAATGATATTAAAATGTGCAAAATAAAAATTTAAACTCAAGTGTGCATTAGATGAAACTGATATGTGCGGAAAAAAAGTACAAAAATAACATCACATCGTACTTTTTATTCTGCACATTTCAGTTTCACCTAATGCACATTTCAATTTCACGTAATGCAAAATTCAACTGCACGTAATGCCACTCTATCGTACCCTTTGTAATGCACATTTCAATTTCACCTAATGCACATTATAGTATCATCCAATGCACACTGAATCTCACTTGAAACAAATCTAACGGTCCTGATTCGTTCTCATTTCTCTCATAAAATCGTGTTCTTATTTGAACCAAAACCTATATATATATATATATATATATATATATATATATATATATATATATATAAGCTGCAATCCAAAATATGGGGATATGTAATAGTTCCAATTTTGAAAACAGGTACGGTCATTCGAATGACTATAAAAAGTAGTTATTTCCAGAATAATAAATGTATAAGATTAATTAGGATTGCTTAAAAATAAAAACATACCAAATATTCTACATATAGAAGTTTCAATATCGAATTGAAATATTGGTTAATAAAATCAAGAGGGAACTTGAACCTTATTTTTTGGATTGAATAGGTTGGCATGCCAATAGGGATAATCAACACGGCCGTAGAATTTGATCAATGATTTCGGGTCCGTAGCCACCGAGTGGACAGCACCCAAATCTTGATATTTGACACACGCGCGCTTCTATACGGGTCTGTAGCCACCGAGTGGACAGTACCCAAATATGTTCGTTTACGGGTCCGTAGCCACCGAGTGGACAGTACCCAAACGAGCTCCGGCCAGAGCCACCGAGTGGTCAGTGCCAAAATAGTTCTCTGATGGTCCGTAGCCACCGAGTGGACAGTACCAAAGATGAGAACGTCCCGTTTATCCAGTCCATAAAATTAAGGAGTAAAATTCCAAAATAAGAAATGTATAGAAATTCGATTTGGAAATACAAACTGAGAAAAATGGAAGGATGCATTGAAAGTGAATGGAAAACGTTAAGAGCGTGGAGTATAATTTAATTTGTGATACAATATTAGAAATATTTGGAAATGGTGACTTTGAACAAAATGGTGATATTAATTACTACGTATATGACAGATCTACAAGCTACAATAGCTATGAAGAGTGATATTTTTAAAGCACGGTTTTTATGAGCTATGTTGGTATTATTACAATTCATGTTGATTATTATTTGTGATAATTTTATATTGAGAAAGAATGAACACCCCTAAGCAAGATTTGCTTAGCGCGTTGGATTTTTGTCCTTCGCGTAGGTCAATAAGCGCTACAAGGCGGATCCAGGATGCATTTGGGAGCAGCAGCCAATCATCAAAGAGTCACATCCACATATTAGTAATAACTCATCTCTAGTTGTATAATAAGTACTCATTTAGCATATTAGTTGTGCAATAAATAAACATGAAAATGTTCAATTTTCATGGATGTATTTGGTTACTCCAAAATCCAGAACTACTTGTGTAATATATTTATGCTTCCGCTATTTATGGACTTTGATAAAATCTATTATTAATCTCATTTAAATTCGGCCAAAAATATTTTAAGAAAATAGTTAATCAGTTAACGCTTTGGTGCTTCGGCACTGCGGGTAGCACTCCCTGCCCTAGCCTTCCGGGCCGGGTAGCGGGTGTTACAAAACATACCAAATCATATCAAACCAAATCAGACTTTGATAATTGTATAATCCACTTAGAACCAACATCTACCAAACCGGACTAATCCAGACAACACTAAACTAGACCAAAGTTAAACAGATTAGACCAGACAATGTCATACCATATCAGCCCAGAATAGAAAATTTTAGTCTTTGAAAAACATCCTTATTAACAATGATAAATTAATGTCTCCTAATATATGAATTTTTGTCAAATTAATATGTATACTTCAATCTTCAAAGTTGCCATCTTATAAATTAATGTCGCCTAAATTAATTTTTTAGTAAAATACACATTTAGCAAGTGTTCATATCTAAGTATAACTTTTTTAAAATTTTACACATGTAATATTGATATCACATGATCATAAAAAATTATGTAATGCTATTTTTTTGTAAACATGTAAGCACAAATGATTTTTTTGGCAAAACACAAATGAAAAGATTACAATTGGAAATTGTTAGAAAGAGAATTAGTAGGGTGTAGTATCTGATAAACTAGTGTCGAGCAACGAATTCAAATACTCTATAATTAATACTTCGTACTACCGTATGATTAACCAACAAAAGAGGATAGATTTGTCCAATTTTGAAGAAAATGAGGTGCGCCCAGCATTTCTTGCGGTGCGCAAAGGAGGTGCGATAAAATAAAATTACATAAAACCTACATTGTATATCATATGAAGTCTTTTAGGTTCAAAGAGTGTGAGTTTGAATATCACCTTCGAATTGTCCAACGCCTTCACTCAAACATTTGAGTGCAGCAGCGTAGTTTTTGTAGACGATCTGCGACTCATGTTGCTTCCTCTCTAGCTAGGATGATCATTTTCTTGCCATGTTGTAAGGAAACCTATAATATGATGCCCAATTGCATTGAAGCCATTGGGCTAATGATTTTTTGAATTAATTTATCTCAAATTCTCCCACAAAAAGTAATAAAGTAACTCTCATTCATTAAGAGGCTATTAGGTATGCCCTTCTTCATTCTCACCCATCACTCTTTCTCTTCGTTTGAATAATACTTCCAAATTCAGCTTCCGTTCCAAAGTGTTCATCCTGCTTTCCACCACATTCAACCATCATGAAGGTCAAGAACATGACCATCTCAATGTTTAAATTAGGTAAGCCCATTGTTCTAAAACTCGCTAGGCGCTAGTCGGGCGGTTGAGGGGCGCCTAGCGCCTAGGCGGCCGACTAGGCCGATTTTTTGGCCGACTGGGCCGATTTTTTGGCCGACTAGGCTGATTCGGCCTCTACGGTTAGGGCCGACTAGGCCGCCTAGGCCGATTAATCGGTCCGCCTAGGCCGATTTTTAGAACAATGGGTAAGCCTAAACGTAAGTGTAGGCTGATAAAATTAAGAAAAATTAATCCCATATAAATCCTCTGAAGAAGTGAGTGCAAAGAAGAGCAAGGAAATTCGGCCATATAAGCGAGTAGAAGATCATCGGAAGTAGAATCCTCATACTCCAAACAACAAAATATGGGCAATTGTGCTTTTTATTCTCACTTTGGACTTGTTTGACCATGTCCTACTCTATTTGATCAAGTTTGGCCGTTTGGCCGTATTATTTTTTATATTCAAAGATGAGTTTGAACGTGTTTGACCTTTGATGGATAGTGTACCCAGGGGGTAGCTTATCCGAGGGGCTATTACGGGGAATAACCTAGAGAGAAGTCAGAGCAAACAAGTAAGAGAGAGAGAGTCAAATGTATTAAATGAACTCGAGATGTGGGGATCTCTTAGGTCTGTTTACAAGGGGAAAGGGGTTGTTATTATAGCAGCCATAAATGCTAAGCGCGTACACGTGTCACTAATCTAACGGTCGAGGGTCACCTCAATCGGGGTGGCACCGGCATTTGCATGTGCACCGCATTAAATGCGGTGGTTGGACATGACACCACATTGAATGCGGTGGTTGTCTGTCCCCAAAGGGAATCTCCGCTGAGTGTTCTGTAGCAAAAGGCCTATCATGTGGCCGAAGGCTCTATGTGGCCGAAGGCTACCCATGTGCCGAGGGCGCCTAGGAGCCGAAGGCTCCTATTTTCTGCCTTTTCTCCCAGTAGCTCTGTATGCTCAAATCTGGCTGCCCTGTGGAATTTGGAGCCCTCGGCTATAGGGTCGAAGACACCTATATGTGCACCGTGGGCTATAATTTATGGATAATCGATACCCATAATCTATAATTTAGAGAGATTTGAACTAAGAATGTGGAGAAGGAGATAAGTGTGTATAGAATGAATAATACTTCTGGGTTACAAGCCTCCTATAAGGAGTATATATAGGGAAATCCGAGTCCGGGCCTCTAATATGGGCCTGACAGACCCGGTTACATAAATGGACTGATAGTACAAAAAACTAATCTAGAACATCTGAATAATAATAGTATGTACAATAATATGAATGATA